CCCCCCCCCCCCCACCCCGCCCCTCCCACAGACCCAATGAGCGGTCCCGTCGCTTGTACCTGTCGAAGCGACGCTTGAGATCGGACATCCCAGCGTCCGTCTCCTTGCGTTACTTTGGGTTTAGGGTTTTGGGGTTTCTGGGCCGTTTGGCTTGTTTTTGTGTTTCGGAAGAACATACTCTTCGTATCTGGCCAATTGGCTGGCATTTGGGCGAGCGTAGGAAAATGATCAACAAAAGACCCTCGAAGCCCACTTCAGGGTTCAGGGGAAACTTCAACGCTACACACTCAAGGTCCAAGTGCCAAGTCCAAGCTGCGTATTTGTTGAGGAGCTCGAAGAGACGTTCCGCACAAAGCTTGGCCGAGCGCAGCACGTAATGAGCGCCCATTCTGCATTCAGGTGCAGATTCTTATTTGTGATCTACTTCCTTCGGCAGTAGGGGAGGCAGTCGGGCCGGAACAGAATAACTTGCTTGGCCATGCGAGCTCAATGGATTAATGTAGCACTGTCTCTACTGAAGAAAAGACCCCCCAACCACTTCCCGGCGGCCTGATTATTATGATCCCAGAACCCCGTCCCAGCAGAGTAGTCCACAAGTACGCTCATACATTTGTAAATTCAGTAGTACAATAGTACAGTAATTAGTGAACACAATGAGACAGCCCCGGAAATGCTACACATCTCATCAAATTCGAGGGGGCTATAATGTTTAGGGCTTTCGTTCAGGGTTTAGGGTTTATGGTTAAGCGTCAGGCCTCCTTGTGACCGTCTACCCAGTTAAGATTGACCATCAGCAAGGAAAGAACCACCGGGCGAATTTTTGTTGCGTTGAAGAGGACGGCCAAAACAACACAAAACAGAAAATGAGGGCCCGGAAAAGGATGCATGATAGAAGGTCACCTAACCACAGACAGTGCAGTGCCAATGCAGTCTTTGAAGCCTTCGAAGGTACGCAGTTTGATCGACAATCGTGGTCGGTTTAGGGTTTAAAGCGCCTCCGAAGACTACAAAAGACAACGATAGAGACAATGCTTGCGAAATGCATGCCGACAGCAAGCACAGGTACACAAAGATCTCGAAGCAAATGCGCAAATCTTGAACCAGGTGCATTAATACATACTAGATCGTGAAAGTACGTGGACTCCTGGTAGCATACGCACCGGATGGAAAGCCACAGCACATGAATTCTTAGATGTAGCAACAGCAATTAATTAGAGCTATCCCGGTTGGCTAGCTTACTGCCATGACCCAACCGATTCAACCACTGATTGCTGCACCTACTAAACACGCGTGCATGCGCGTGATGACTTGAACATATCGCAGATGTGTATATACTAGCATGCAGTAGTCGTCGTCGTCGTAGTGGTCGTAGTAGTAGTAGCAGGAGTAGTAG